CAATAGGTCAGAAAGAAAAAGTAAAACCTGCATGGCTGCAGGCATTTGGTCCATCTGTTCAATGCTGGCGTGCACGGACGAAGCTTGCTGAGCAGCTGTTGTGTCACCTCCCAGAACTTGAGCTTGCTGTCCTGCCACTTTGGTCTCAGACTAGTTTCTGTGCCAGCATTCTGCGTTACCAAGACATTCTGCCACATGCAAAGCCAATGCACACTAGTATGTTGGAGTTGGGAAGCTATTAAGTTATAGTATAAACGTACAGTTCAAAAGATACTGTCCGTTCTTTTGCTCTAAACATCTCTAAACCCGTGCACTTTGAAATAATCTATTTCACTATTTTCAATTGCTTGGCTTAGTTCAAGCAACAGTTAACAGACATGTGACATCAAGTGGCATGAACCATGGTCCTCGCGTGACTTGCAGCAGCCCAGTCTGCAGTAGTGCACAAATTTGTCTCCCCCATTTACCATCTGGGCAACCTCTGCAGCCAGGGCCAACCTTCTTTCGGTGCTAACGGATGGATCCTGCTCAGAATCAAGGTCTTCATTTCTCAGGAACACCTCATTGAGCCTTAGTTGGGAAGTAACCGCATTGAGGTTTCAAATGAGCATACAAATAGAAGTTTGCATGTTGATGTTTCATGTCTTGGGGAAGGTCATGACGTTTGTGCATTGTTACTGTGGTTGCTGCATTCAACCAGTAAACTCTGACTTGACTGAAACAAGGTACAAATACCACAGCTTACGCTTGTTGGAGGCAATCTCTTCTGCTGAAGGCCAGGCATAGACCACTTCCAACTCATCCAAAATGATTGCTCTGATATGCCCCAGCAGCGTTAGAAACCGGTTTCCACCATGCAGAATTTGAGTCGCGCAAAACATTGGGTTTATCACACTGGCTTTCCTGAAGCCCGCTTCCGAGATATGATGTGTCTCATGGGCATTGCACCAGTGCTGCATCACCTACAACAAGTGAGAAACTAGTCTGTGTAGGCTTTGTTCAATGCCAGTTATAAAATATAGTGATATATAAATAAACTATATAAAACAAAAACAAACAAACCAGCAAAGGCACTTGATTCAAGTCAATGTTGTGGTATATTACATAGGATAATTCAAAAGAAATGACTAATACGAAACACATGAACTTTGCACAAAAGCAAGCTCTTGGGTATGAGTCGGTATGAGGGCTATCAGTTTAACAACCAATAACACGGGTTCCCTGCAGTATTGAACAGCAAACAATGAGTTCAGACTTGGCACTGCGCAATTCGGCGGAAGTTCGGGATCTGATGCAGCCAGCTGAGCCATGAGCCCGTTTGCTTTTGCGTTGTCGCCCACAAAGTGAAGCAAAAAGAAATCTTGTACACCAGTTGCCCACTTGAACGGCCTGGGCAGTATGAACTTGAACTTTACCCTGGCAACAACTTCTGCAAGTTAGAATAGGTAATTCTTTTGTTAGATTGAACATTGACATAGACATTTAGCTAGACCATTCATACGTACAAGTCATAAACATAACAAATATAATATATAATATATAAAGCTGACTGAAGCTGAGTTTGGGCGGCGGGACAGGCTGCTTGAGCTTCAATGCATTCCAAATAGAAGCTGCTCCAGTGCTGCGCAGCACTGCAGGAGGCACAGCAAAAGAGTGAATCCTGCAGGCAGGTCACTCAGATAACTCCTATCTAATCTAAATATAACACTGTATCTATCTATATATACTGTATATAATATATACATATTATATTGTTATTTGTCCATATATAAATTATATAAATATATATGATGCTATGTTCTATATGTGTGTTTGTTTGCCGGTCTATGTTTGTATATTAAATAATTGTTTCTTGTTTACATCATGACATGATATTCATAATCATATCATGTCATTTCATACCAATTACTCTACACTAACCTACTACAACAACCCTGACTTGGCCATACCAGGCCTCACTGGGAGGTGAAGTGTCTTTGATACCAGCTCGCAGCGCTGGAGTAGAATTGGGAAGCTTCCAGCCACCTGACACACAGTGATAAAGTCACTGGCAATGGAACAAGGGGCTTCCTGGTTTTCCAAACAACTTTTCAGCAGTACTTTGTTTTTTCCACCCTATCAGGCCTTTTCCAACCAGCTTGTACGGATTTTGGTCTGCTGTTCAGTCTCGTCTGATTCAATCATGAGCCTAGGATTGCCATGACTGAGACTTATGACTCATGACTCTGACTCATGACCTACAGAGCTTACTGTTACAAAGCGGCTTACTGTCAAGCAACTCCTAAACCATCAACTTCCACTCGAAACAAGAGGAGCAAAAAACAATAGCAAACTCAGAACATCAGCAGTGTACATTGTAGCTGCAATTCTAAAAAAGTTCCGGCAAAGAAACTTCGCACAATTTGGTTTGCCATCCTCCTGCTCCAGCAATCGTGATGCGAGGCGTCTTTGCCAACCATCCCATAGGTTGCAAATGGCATCTCGAACCTTTGATGGACAAACCATGAATGGTCAGCTCAAAGGATTCAACCTCACAAAAAAATAAACAGTTACAGTCACAGTTACGGTATGATTATGATTGTTTGATGGCTGCCAGTACCTGAGAGCAATTTAGATCCTGTGAGGCCAAGTAAAGACCTTGATGCAAACTAAACAAAATGTTTAACATCATGATTTTTCATTTATCATATCATATCACATATCTATGAGTGCTAACCCATTACTAAGTTACTATGACTATATCTACCACAATATGAATTAAGGAATATACATATATATATATAGACGTAAGACAATATATATAGTATAATATATTGTGGAAGCATGCAATTTGTCATGTGTTGATAGTCCAAGTTTCTCTCTGAACATGATTTGCACAGCTGTGGAACCAGTAGGCGCAGGAAGAGGAAGAGTATTGAGCCGGGCATGTGGAAGCAACCATCGACTTATCACATCTCCCAAACCTCAAGGGAACGCGTGACAGTGCCAAAGTAAAGCATTTTCTCACACGCTGCCAGACTCAGAACGTAAACTCTTACCCTTACATTGCATTCACTTTACATCATCTTACAGAAATGCTTCACATTGTGCAAAGCAAAAGGATTGCCAATGGCAAGCCAAGAAAACGCTGATCTGAGCATCGCCTCTCCAGTCCAAACTTTGTGCAAGCCCCTTCTCTTGAATTGTTTTTCAGCCTTGCTTGAATGTCTTGGCATCAACAATAAACCATATTTCTTTTCGTTGGGCCAGGATTCTACCACCAACACCTGGGCTTAAGGCCAGAGTGGTTCTCTAGTCACGTCCAACACTGGTGAGAACAGTTGGAAGGATATGTGTGATATGAATATGTATATAGTTAGTTATATAATATAGAGTCTATAGTATAATTATATAGTCATATAGTCATTGCCTTTTATACTATGACTCGAAACTGTGGTTGGGTCATTCAGTGTCTTACAAGTTGAAAAACTTATCTGAAGTACTTTTGCAAGGGACTCCCAAAACTTCACCACGTCTGACAGCTGTGAGAGCATTGTATTTTCGGACAGCTTTAGCGCTTTGCTGCTTTACCTTCAAGATCCGTGCCCGGTAAGACTTCGCAGCACGAGCCAACCTGCACCAGGGGATTGACAAAAGTATTTAGCACTGTTGAGAAGGGAGGTGAGGACCACCGGGAAAACCAATAGCCATAGTCCCATAGCAATAAAAACTAAAAAAGTAACAATCGTGACAAACAGTTTTCATGATCATGAATCTGAATCATGAAACATCATAATTTACGACTATTGGTCACATCACCATAGTTCTTTCGAACCCTGCCTGAGCTGCATCCGCTTCACATCAGTGATTGGGTTTCTCGGGCCGCCTCTATCCAGCTCTGCTACGGCATCCACAAGCGCATCCATTGGCCGCAGAACCAAACAGAAATTGCCTTTCTGGTTACATAGAATTAGACTTGACGGGTCTCAGTATGGTCTACAGTCAATGCTTCTAACGCCTAGTGTCCTGGAAAAAGAAACCACTGAATACCTCTTACTACTACTTTTGCTATGTTTTTCCAGTCCTTACCTTAGCATTGCAGCATTGGTCAAACTTACACCATGGTATCAGCAAATAAAATGCTGATGATATTTGATTTAAACGGATGAACTGCATGTTGTAGCTTGTGTGTGTGCCCTGGTCTCCTGAGCAGAGTCATAGAAACAGTGCAGCCACCAAGAGTGTGCAATCAGTTTCTTTAAAAGTGGTAGTTGTATAGTTGTACTACCTGTTAACTTAACAATCAAAACTCTGCAACCTGCTGCATGCAAGCTCAGAACAAAACTCACAGACTTGTATTATTCCTTTTGATTCACCTTTTTTTCACAAATTGAGAAATGGACACAGTGTGCCCTTTATTTACTTCTACGCATCCCAGAGCGTACCAATGCGTACCCAACATGCGCACCAGTGCGTACCCTACATGCGTTCCCAACACACGTACCCAACATGCGCACCCGTACCCTACATGCGTACCCTACATGCGTACCCAACATGCGCACCTGTATCGACCCCACCGCCCCCTGACAACGCACCTTGTACTGTACACTGTCCCGTCATGCGCGTACCCTGTCCCAAGCCTATGCGCCCCCGTACCCGTACCTAGACGTCGGGTAGCTCTCAGAACCTATGCCTGTATTGGTCTTGAACTTAGCTAACAAATGATGCAATCATGAAACATGTATTAAGATATAGATTGTTGAAAGGAGTCAGTTGTTTTCTTTCCATGAACCTGGTGATGCAAATGATACAATGACAAAACATACAGTCAGACATATATATATGTTGATCGACCGCGTATCATGTCAGGACGCCAGGGACTTTCATGCCCAAGGAGGAAAAGGGCCGCATGGATCGCGGCTTCATAGGTGTGTGCTGCCAACATTGGTAGCGGGGCTGGGAATAGCCCGGCTCCCCGGTGACTGGAAGTCGCTGGAGCGTTCGATCGACCGCGTTTTGCCATGGAATCTGGCTCTGGTGGACTTCGCTATTTTAGCGGAGAAGAGAGCGACCACCGCGAGTCTCGTCGGTGGAAGCAATGGGTGCAGAACAAGATGAGAACGATGGACAAGCTGACAGAGGAAGCGAAGGGTTCCTTCATCTGGACGCTTTTGTCCGGTCGTGCTTTAGAAGTGGTGGAGCACCTCCGAGAAGGAGATTATCAAGTCAAAGGCGGCGACAAGGTGTTGTTCGATTTGCTTGACCGGCGTTGGCCGGAGCTGGACCGGACAGACGAGATTGGAGAGAACATTGCTGCTGTGTTCGCCCTCAAGGCGAAGGAAGGCGAATCTCTTCGCCAGTGGTGCGCTCGCTCACGCGAGTGCTTCGACCGCTGTGCCCGGAAGACCGGGGTGAAGTTTCCAGAGGAGGCTCGTGGTTGGATCCTCCTCAACTGCTCTGGGATGTCTGAAGGTGATCGTGCAGTTTGTTTGGCTCGGGCCCAAGGGGACCTGAAGTTTGACACTTTGTCTCAAGCAATGCGTTCCTGCTTCCCTGAGTATGTGGTGGCGAAGAAACGTTTCAATGCCGCTCACCTCGTGGAAGACCCAGCTGTTGAGCCACAAGACCCAGTCGAGGAGTCGTTCAAGGACGTGGAGTTGTTCCTGACCGAACACGGCCTGGCTGGTGAGTATGAGGGAGTTGATCCCGTTGATGGAGATGAATATGATGAAGAGGAAGCCGCTGAGATTTTGGCTGCCACTTGGCGTGAACGCCGAGCTGAACTCAATCAGGTGCAAAAAGGACGAAAGTTCCACTCTCATGACAAAAGGGGGACATCGTCATCAGCTGCATCTGGCAAGGAGTTTCGACGCTCCTTTCGAGTTCAAGTTGAGGAGCTCAAACAGCGCACTCGCTGTAGACGGTGCGGGAAGATTGGACATTGGCAGCGTGAATGCAAGTCCCAAGGGGCTTCTACATCCGGCTCAACCCCTGCAACCAGTCATGCTGCAGGTACAGTGGAACATGTGCATGAGATGCCGGAGCATTTTGTATGTACAGCTGCCTCCGTGAACCTGCCGTCTCACGAGGTCCTTCTGGTGAGCAGTCCGGGACACGCCGTCCTCGACAGTGGATGTGGCAAAACCATCATCGGAGAAAAGACCCTTCAGGCCTTCGCAGAGATTTGGGAAACTCACAAGCTGCCATCGCCGCTGGAGAAGAAGGAACAGAATCGTTTTCGCTTCGGTAACGGGGAGCAAGAGACAAGCTCCCGTGTGGTGGAGATGCCGGTGTTCTTGGCCAATCGGCCTGGCTTTGTGACGGCAGCGGTTGTGCGAGGCGATGCCCCGCTCCTTTTGTCTCGGCCCGCACTCAAGAAGTTGGGTGCCACATTGGATTTTGCTGGAGATTCATTGACATTGTTTGATGGCCAGTCGTCCCTTGCGCTGGAGACGAATGCTGCTGGACAATACACCGTCAACGTGTCGTGTTTTCCTGAGGATGCTGCAGCCCTTTTTCCAAGCCGAGTCAAGCCGTCCGAGAAGCCTGAGCCACCACCGGCTGCATGCCACTCGGTGCAGTTCGATAAACCCCCTGTTGGGAAAAAGAAGGATTTTTGGGAGTTTAGACCACAAGAGAGGCTCGTGATCCGACATCATCTGAAGCCTAGGCGAGCCCTGTTTACTCCTCACATGTCTCAGTGCCCTGTCAGCCTCGATTCGCTCGGTCCGACTCGTCTTGGGACCGTAGTGACTCTTGGAAAGATTCGATGGTCGCACACACCATTGTAGGACATGAACCATGGACGGGACAGACCATTTTCAAGTTAAGTGAATATGCTATCCCGCCAGCCTTCGATGCTCTCGAGGAACAGCTGCAAGTGTCGCGCATGTCCGCTCGACAACACCGACAACTGATGGCGCAGGTAAGGGATCATTCGCCGTCTTCGAACGTCGGATCGTGGGACGTGATTGAGGTGTTTTCACCTCCTCGTTTTGCTTTAGAAGGGGCGAAACTGGGATACCGAGTCCTGTCGGCAGATTTGTGCACTGGTTGGGACTTCAGGAAGAAAGCTGATCGAGACCGTTTGAAAGAAAGCCTGCAATCATCCAAACCTCGCCTGTTGGTTTTATGTCCCCCTTGCACTTGGGCCGGTGGTTGGTGGCATTTGAATCGGTTGTACATGGGCCCAAATGAAGTAGTGACTCGTGAAACATGGACTTCCTTGTTTATCCAATTCTGTTGTGAGCTCATGGAGATTCAACTGGAACTGGGTGGAAGGTGTCTGTTCGAACATCCTCGGGATTCCGTTGCATGGAACACCCCAATCATGAAACGCCTGATGCATCGGATGCACCTGGTGTCCGTGGATATGTGTTGCTATGGGTTACGAGTGCCATCCGGGCCGCTCATCCGCAAGGCCACTCGCTTGCTGGTGTCCCATGCTGACATGAGATGCCTGAGCAGAGCCTGCCCTGGTCCCGAGCACAAGTGTCATCAGACACATCGACCTGTGGCGGGCCACGGGCCTGGAGTAGGTTCCATAAGCAAACATGCTGCCAAGTATACCCCGGCATTTGTCAAGGCCGTACTGAGAACCATGACTGAACTGCCGTCAGGAGTGTGTTTGGCCGTTCACGAGGGTGATATGCATGTAGAATGCCTAGCCTCCCGCGCCATAGAAGAGCTTGAACAAGAGAATGAACAGAAGCTGCACGCCAGCCTTCGACATCTCCATGTGAACCTGGGTCACCCCACAAATGCACAGATGCTTCGAATCCTCCGCCACGGTGGTGCGTCTGCGGGCGCTCTCGAAGCGGCTCGGAAATTCAAGTGTGACCACTGTGAAGCTCACAAAGCTCCAAGGCTGCCTGTTCCTGCTCAACCTCAACGGATCGTAGAGTTCAATGCACTCGTAGGCATAGATGTTAAGTATTTGCCCGGTTGGTCAGGAAATCAGCGAATCCCCACACTGAACATCTTGGATTATGCTAGTTCATTGCAAATCATGGTGCCGTTGTTCAAGAAAGAAACCGCACACAGCATTCGTCAAGCCTTCCAAGAACGTTGGATGTCGTGGGCAGGCATGCCACATGAGATCATTTGTGACCCTGCACGCGCAAACATCGCTGATGCATTCTCCCTGGCGATGGAACAGGGTGGCGCCACTTTCAAGCTGACAGCGGCTGACGCCCATTGGCAGCTAGGGAAATGTGAAGTACATGGTGGGTGGTTTGCCAGAGTTCTCGAAAAGATCATGGCTGAACATGTACCCCGCACACAAGAAGCCTGGCTCGAATGTGTCCATGCTGCACACTGTAAGAACCAGTTGATTCAGGTTTATGGGATGACCCCCTCACAATTTGTGTTCGGCAAAAACCCCCGGGTACCTGAGAATCTGATGGATGAACCTCTGGAGGTGATACCTGCTACTGCTGCCCTCTACGAAGAAGCCATTGCTAAACAGGTAGCCATTCGGCAAACCGCCCGACGTGCTGTGTTGGAACTGCAAGACGATCGCTCGTTGCGTCGTGCTTTGGCCGCTCGTCCCAGGGTTCAACAGACCTATAGTCCCGGAACTTATGTTGCCTTTTGGAGATCTCAAAAGTGGGTACATGGTGCTCTTGAGAAATCGGGGCGCTGGTGTGGTCCCGCAGTGGTTTTGGGGTATGTGGGTCGAAATGCAGTCATCATTCATAAGAGGCAAGTTTTCCGATGTGCCCCCGAGCAACTTCGACCGTCTACTCAGGATGAAAAGAAGCTAGTTGAGACCCCCCAAATGGAGTTCTTAGGTATCAAGCATTTGATCGAGACCAACCAGTTGGCGAGTAGGCAGTTCATAGACTTGGTGCCAGACTCATACCCTAGCCATCCAGAGGAATCCGACCTGGCTCCACCGCCAGTTAGTGCCCCTGCAACACAAGAGCCCCAGTCCATCTCTGATCGTGTCTCGGTTCCGATGCCACTTGATGCTCCACAAACAGTTGTGCCCGAACCACCGCAATCCGAGTTCGTAGATAAGTCATGGGTGCTTCCGGAGGAACCTCAGACCGAGCAGCCAAAGCCAGTGTCTGCCGAATCTGAACTGGCATATGGGCCTGTTCGTCAGCCTCGTCGCCGGATCCATCAAAAGGATGGTCCTATGGCCTTGTACCGCCCGGGTCCCATGCTGCAAGAGGATTTCCAAGAAATGATGCAAGAAATCGTTCCCGAACTGGTGAATCAAGTCCTGTCAGAAGAAGCAGCCAGTGATCCGAGCCATGCCTCGTCCTCGGCGTCCCAGCCGTCTCGGGGTGTTAAACGATCAATCGACGGCGCTGATGACACTACTGCCGAACCGGCAGATAAGCGACCAGCCTTTGATCCACCTGACGAGGCCTTGTTCGCTGAGCCGACTGGTCAGACTTTTGCTTGTGATGAGATGGCAGTTTGTTCAGTTGAGCTACTTGATAAACACCTGGTTCCTCAAGCATCGGATTCCCTGTCCCTAGAGGACAAAAAGGCATTGGTACGATTGTTTCGAGAAGGTGCCCCTCATGAGGTCATGGTAGCTGCTTATATGAAGAAGAAGTCCTCGAAAGAAATTCCTGCATTTGGTAATCCCCCTGATATCCAGAAGAAGGTCGATGAAGCTAAGGTATTAGAATGGGGTACCATCACCGCCAAGCATGCAGGCAGACCTGTCCTAGGCCCTGAGGCAGATGAAGTCAGGAAGCATTTGAGCCATCGCATCATGGGTAGCCGTTTTGTGATGACCATCAAACATGAAGATGGTGCTGATCCCCGGATGAAGGCGAGATGGTGTCTCTTGGGTCACCTCGACCCAGATCTCACGGCCAAGGCCGAGATTGGCGATCTGCAGAGTCCCACCTTGTCTCAGGTTGGTCGAAACCTAGTGTTTCAGCTGATTGCTAGCAATAAATGGCGTATGGCCCTGGGAGATGTGAAGGGCGCCTTCCTGTCTGCCGGGAACCTTCCCAAGCGATACCGACCGCTCTACGCCCGCCTTCCACCAGGCGGTATTCCTGGTCTGCCAGATGACGCCTTGATTGAGGTAGTTGGTCATGTGTACGGATTGAACGATTCCCCAGCTGCATGGTACAAGAAGCTATGTCAAGAACTACTGCAAGTTGGTTTTGAACGTTCTCAATTCGACTCGTGCCTTTTCTATTTTCGGGAGAAGGGTAAGTTGACCGGTATATATGGTGTGCATGTAGACGATTGTGTCACTGGGGGAGATGGTGTAGGGTATCAACAAGCAATTCAGAAGCTTCAATCCACCTTTGAGTTCCGAAAATGGAGAACCGGGTCAGGTGATTTTTGTGGTGCACAGTACACTCAATGTGACAAGACATGTGAAATCACCATGAGTCAATCGCAGTTCGTAGAAAAGATCCGACCCCTCCATCTAACTCGAGAGAGGTGTCAAGAGAAGACCAGCCCGCTGACCGATAAGGAAATTAGCTGTCTCCGGGCCATCAATGGCAGTCTTAATTGGCTGGCCAATCAGTCTCGGCCTGATCTAGCTGCTCAAGTTTCCTTTTCACAACAGTCATTCCCCAAACCGACAGTAGCTGATGCAATTGCAGCAAACCAAGCGATTCGACGAGCGAGACAACATGCTGATCAAACCATTCGTTTTTGCTGTATTGAACCAGAGAGCCTTGGACTGATGTGTCACTCGGATGCAGCATTTGGCAACGCCAAGGCTGGAGCGACTCAGGCCGGTTTCATTGTCAGCTTCACTCATAAAGCCATAAATGATGGTGCCGATTGCGCCTGGTCTCCGGCTTATTGGAAGAGTTTTCGCCTTCCCAGAGTGGTGAATTCCACTTTAAGTGCCGAGGCTCAAAGCATGTCCGTGGCCTCCAGTATGGTAGAGTGGACGAACTTGATCCTATCCGAAGCTTTAGATGGCCCCCGATGTTGTAGGAGTTTATGGTCTGGGTTGGGTAACCGCTTGACTCTAGTGATCACTGATTGTAAGTCACTTTATGATCATCTCCTCTCGCAGTCGTCGCCGACTCTCGACGATCGCCGTACCGCCATTGACATCGTGATCCTGAGAGACAGCATCTCTAGGATGAAAGCGTCCCTAAGGTGGATCCCCACGGATCGAATGCTGGCTGATGCCTTGACCAAAGAATCGCCGGAAGCGTTTGACTTGCTTCGTGCATGTCTGAGAACCACCAGGTATCAGATCAGCCCTGAGGCACTTGTTCTGCAGAGAAGAGCTAGCGAGCGTGAGCGTCGAAAATCGTTCGCTTCGAAACAGGCCCCACAGCCTCCTAAGGAGGATAAGGCATGTTGAGTGATGACTTAGTTTTTGAAAGGTTTGGCATTCGTGTGTTTCTCTTTACATGGAGTCTGGATGGGCGACTCCGTCGTAAGTGCATTGGAATGTTGTCAAATGTCAAGCACTCGTAATTCAAGATCATTTTTGTGTACTTAGTTTGATCCCTGGCACACGCTGACTGTGAGAATTTTTGATGCAGTGAGTTTGTTGTGAGCTCTGCTTTTGGACACAAGTCGTTTCGTCCGCAGAGCTTTCTCCACAGTTCCCGAGCGAGTTCGAGCTTTGTTTGTTTTTGGCACCAATCGCCATGGCATCCAGCAAGCCATCGTTCACTTTGGCCGAGGCCGATGAATGTGTCCGCCTGGTACGGCTGGCACGCAAGGCAGGATGGTGGAAGTCCGTCTGGCAGCGGGTCGTGGATTTGGACGACCTTGCCGAAGATTTGTCATGGGAGGCCGTGTCTCCTAATGCCCTCGCTGGCTCGATGACTGACGGCTCCAAGCGCCTCCGTGATGAAGGCAGCACGTCGAAGATGGTGACCTATGCGCCTGCCGGATCTGGCCATGATGTCATGAAGAATGTTCCCATGCCCTCGACAGGGTACCCTGTTGGAGCTCCGAGTCCTTCAGTGGCACTCCCAGATGGAGTACCTACCGTGGAACGGTGGGGTCAGACCCTTGTGAGTTTCGGGAAATTTAAAGATGCCAAGACATATGCAGAGCTTTTCGACTCCACGGATGCATCCATTGCGTCCTATCGGAACTATTGTGTGTCCCACTTCAAGAGTGGATCTCCGGGTCTGAAAGACCTTGTTTCGTACTTCAAGGCCCGTGGTTTGAATGATGCAAGTCAGTGCGTCATTCCTGGAAGCCATACCTCTCGGCATTTTAGAGAGGATTGATAGGAGTGTTGATCGACCGCGTATCATGTCAGGACGCCAGGGACTTTCATGCCCAAGGAGGAAAAGGGCCGCATGGATCGCGGCTTCATAGGTGTGTGCTGCCAACATATATATATATTGTATACAGTATATATATAACATCCATGTGTTTCTCAATGTTTTCTTCCACTCCCACCCCTCTCCCAGACCTCATGAAGCAGAATATATTTGTTTGCTCCTAAACGCTCCTAGCTAAAACATGCTACGCCCCAAAAAACAGCGATGGCGAGAGTTGAACGCACCCCACTTACTTACCCTTGAACGCCTCAGCGGCGGGTTACGCTCCGGTGGAAGAGTGGAAAACCGATGTGACAGCTGAGCTCCTGGTGAGGTGACTGAAAACCGATGGAGTTGTCTCGGAGTGAACCCGAAAGCGAAAACACATGTCATCCGTCTCCGTTGGTTGAAAGCAATTCACCCATCTTCATTCATAATAGTTCATCGGTGAAGAAGCCGGGATCCAACAGGACCTGAGGTTGGTGCACAAGCATGCCTTCTGCCAGACTGAGTGAGCGGTAAATTTAGAAGATGTCTTAAATGTATATATACAATATACATATCGCATGTTCTTTTTTCACATGTTCATTTAAACAGACTACTACGTAGTATAGTGGTTTATTTCAATAACTCGGAGAAGATGGGAAAGCTCTGGCATGATCACCCTCACCTCGCCAGGCTTTGCTCGGACATTTGGAACAGGAAGTCGCAGCACCCGAAGCCACTCGGCATGCGGTGGAGCAGGTGGTATCGGGATGGCCACGAGGTGTATAAGCATATTCATATGTAGTATATGTCAATGTACTCAGTAAAACTAAAGTAGCACAGAGCTTCTTGGATGGCTAGTTATGTGTGCGAACCAGTCTTGGATGTTGCGTTCATGCAGGGAGCCGATTTGAAACTCTTGGACACCTTCCAGGCCTCCACAGGGTGTTCCATCTCTTGGTTCGGTTTTTCCTGATTGGTATAGATAGCTGCGTGACAGGCCGTCAGGCCCGACCGGTTCACACAACCCGGGGGGGGCTCAAAATAGTAGTAATGCCCTTGTTACTATAGTAGCTTCTTGCTACTAGTAAGGCCAGGAGCTACTAGTAGCTTCTTGCTACTAGTCCCTTGATACTATAGGAGTAAGTGAAATGGAAGAATGGGGGAGGTTTCTCTGGGTCATTTCAGTTTCATGTCGGGGTACCTGGAGAGGCTGGTGCCCAGAACATCCGTGGCCCGCGGTGCACCATGATTTGCCCTGATTTCTCGTCCAAATCTTCGATCCAAAACAAACATGCTCACGCCGAGAGTCGTGTTACCGAGGACTGATCGAATACTATAGGAATGGATCTCTGCTCATGCCCATGTTTGGGCGCTCACGAAATCCCCAGCTTCAACGGAACATCGGCGTGTAGAGGGGTGTTCCACCAACGGCACCAACGTCACACAGTCCGACGCCCTTCCGCCGCCCTTCCACGCCCTCGCTCCCTTCGGGCCCCCCCGTTCGACCGCTCCCTTCGTAGCAACTGATCCAGGCAACGCCGGAGCGGTTGTTGGAGCTGGTGTCGCAGCTGCCCAGCGCTTCGCAACGAGCGCAGCCGCCCGGAGCCCGGACCGACCCGGCGGGGCCCTGCGGGAGCGGCGGGGGTTTGGGCAGACTTCGCGGTTGGCGGTTTGGCGAGTCGTTTTTCACTGGAAACTCGTCATAAGATGGGGACTCCCAAGCAATATCAGTCAATTTCGCATAGCTACCAAGCTAACTACAAGGCGGGAAGGGGCATTGTCGAGGCGTCTTATAGTTAATTTTCACTGTTTATCACTTTTCCTTTTTGGGTTTCACTGGGGGTCTCCCTAGTCTAATACACATCCCAGTACACATCCCTATAGTGCTACGAATCTCAGATTCGACCACGTTCGGCTTGCCTTCCCGGGCCTCTGTGGAAATCGAGCTTGAACCTTGACTCTTGGACCGGCTCTCTGGACTGGGCGAGCTAAGCTTGCGCGCTTGGACCGACTCTGGACCGACTCTCCGAGCCCGAGGGCGCCGTAGGTGGATGCAGATATACATCGAAGGGTAAGGATGGACGAAAAAGGACGAAAAAGGAGCAGAAGAGAAAGGATGGAGGCTGATCACAATCTCGTGATCATCACCCAATGGCCGGAACAGCAGGGCACGAAGATGGCAGATGGGCAGCCCAGGATGGCCTGTCACAGCCTGCTTTGGTAGCGTTGGAATTGGCCATTGCCTGTATTTGTTCTTGGCCTCAACCAGCCAGCACAAGGTTTTAACCATGCTTTACAAAGCTGAATCGACGGAAGCTCCACAAAAAACACCTCCCAACCTGTGTGCCCCCAACTACGTAGTGAGCTTCTGGTAAATGAAGCCCCAATGATATGGAGACAGAGTCTCAGAGGCCGCCGCTTTTCGTTTCGGTGTTCGATGAATCGGTCGACCCAGCTCCGGATGAGACGGCAGAGACGTCACCGACGACGCCACTGGGAAGGTGGAAACAAACAACACCAAACACCAAAGTAACTGGGTGTTCCTCATCGTTGATGGTCTCAGTTGGACATGTGAGCAGAGTCGTCTCAGCTAGGTCGTCACAGAATCGTCTCGTGCGGACCGCGAGGAGGAACTGAGAACTGTTTGATACCTTTTGGCGCCAGAGCAGCACAGACCATTTGAGGAGAAAGGCGTGCCTTTTTAGGAAACATGGAACTGTTCGGGCAAAGGAAGAAAGATGGAAACCTTCAACTCGACCAGTCGATCCTCAGTCGGAGGCATGCGTGCGTGCGCCAGGCATGTACATCTGAGATTGATACACCCAACACAGACCCAACCCAGGTTTTGCTTGAGGTTCCTATTCTTGTTTCCGGTGCCTTAAGCAAATCCTATGGACATCTATGGACCCCTGATGTATGTGTTTTCAATCCGGTGAAGTTTACTGTTTGTTGCTATAGGACATGTTGATTCATGCCTGATGTCCTTTTTCATGAAAACAATGTGTTTCCTGGAGAACTGCTGAACCCAAGCTGCGTCGAAACTAGCTGCGTTGGATCGTACCAAGGCCTTCCGGCGCCTTGGCCAAGCGCTTGCAGGACGGTGGACTCAGCTGATCCACAGAGTGTGATTCTCCTCCGGCTTTCACTGTCATATGCAGGGGGCTAGCGGCCCATTTCTCGACGCTAGCCAATGAAGCTAGAGAGAAGGGGTGATGAGTCTGTGGACGCACAGATTTGTACTTGCTGTTGTTGCTTCGGGGCTCAGGGGCCCTTTTGGAATTGGTACATTGCATGTCACTCACTCTTGTCATTGTCACTCATTGTCACATGCGAATCTCATGATCGCCGGCAATAACAGGTTGAGACACAAAGGCAAATTTAAAATTGGTGCTAAGCTTAGAAGTCAGTTTCAATAAGTGACTAAAAATTTAGTTTTACAAAATGTTTCATGAATTTAACTTTAAAACTCTAAACGTAATAAAATTTATACAATAATAAGAATCGAATTATTTTAAGTAGGCTTGAGGCCGCCGTCGTGAACCGGCTCAAGAAGCAGCATTTGCATTGCAACAGCAGCAAATGTCTCAAGCAGCTACTCTGACGCGGCGCTTCTACTCTGCACCATGGTGGCTTGCGCCGATGGCTTTCTTGCCGCCGACTGTGCCCGGTGGCTTCGCGCCGCTGGGCGACCATGGTCGGCTCAGCGCCGACTTATTATCCCGGCGGCTCCGGGCAGCTGGGCTGCCATGGTCGGCTTAGCGCCGACTGTGGCCACCATGGTCGGCTCCGAAGCTTTTCGCAATCAACATCCTGCGTTTCTCAAAGTCTTGGCATGGGCTCTGGAAAGAGGTGGGCGGCGCATGTTGAAGGCGACCAGCCTGGAAAAACAGAGATCCATTACACTCCTGGCCGAGCGAGATCCTGAAGCAAAGAAATTGATAGCAAAGTCTTTGCACACGTTTGGAAAAGACACTTTTGTGCAGTACTTGACTGAAAAGTGCCAAGTGAAGGAGAAATCCTTTTTCGTAGCAAAACTTCGGGGTTAGTGGCAGGGATGTGACCAAAAGCGCAGAGTTCAGCGATGCAAGGGGAGAAAAATTTAACAATTGCTTCATGTTCATTATGCCGCAACCGTGCAACTTCTTACGCGGACCCGGGCCGGTCTGGCGATGCGTAAGGACGGAGCGCGCGTCAATTCTTACGCGGACCCGGGCCGGTCTGGAACTGCGTAAGGGGGGTAGCAAATCGCTACTATCACTACCCGAACCCGGGCCGGTCTGGCCTTGCGTAGGGACGGTAGCAAAATGCGTTAGACTAGTAGCAAATCAAAAAGTTAGCATCCTTAGGCGTTTTGCTACTATCCTTACCCCACTCCGGGCCGGTCTGGCTGTGGGTAGGGACAGTAGGGATTTGCTACCCCCCTTACGACGACGAAACCACAGGGTCCCTTGCGTAAATCTGCCCCTTGCGTAAATCAAAAATGAACTTGAGTTTGTTATTTTTCTCTCATTGCTCAGTCCGAGTTTCTTTTAAGATAGCCATATACACTCCTCCTCACTTCGGACTGGGTGTCGTTAGTTACTTATTAATCAACGACGACGACATGAAACTGCAAGTGTTTGCAAATAAAACATAGCCTGCTTCCGAGTCTTCTTGTAAGATTCACCCGTCCTTCCTGGCCATGGCGCCAAAGAGGAAAATGAGCTTCGCGCGAGGCGTTGCACTGAAGGCTCGCGGATTGCCGCAGACGGAGGTTGAGGAGCACATATAGCCCTGCGTGATTTTGTTCGGGACCACAAGAACAGGCGGAAACCTGCGCCCATGCCAAAAGGAAAAAACGAATTTTTGCTGACTGCGTGGGCATCAGCTCCGAAATGATAGCTTTCGCTCTACTCGGACTCGAGGACAAGCACATGGAGTTTGTGGGAGGAACAGAAAAAGATACCATGAAGCGATGCCTTCTGCAAGCCGTCCACAAAGCTTTGAATTTGTCAACCCAAAAGGAGCGGCTGCAGCATGACATTTTCGATCGACGCTTGGATGAAACAATTCAATCCCAAGCGATTTGTACATTGTAGGGTTTCCTTGTCCAGCGTACAGTAGCTGCGGCAAGAAGCGTGGCGCGCGCGATGGGCTAAGAAGAGGCCTTCTTCTTTTTGATGTTTGAGAATGAATAAACTGTTTTAACTTCGGGCTTTTGAAAACACCAGTCTTACATTTGAAACTGAAGTCTTACATTTCTAGCCAGCAACAATTAATTCTAACTTTGCCTTTGTGTCATGACTTTTCTACATTTTTAATTACTTGTAACTGTTAAAGGTTTTTAATACGTAATAATGGGATCAAGTTACCTGAGATCTGCATGTAACAATGAATGACAATGATGGCTGTACCATTTCCAAAAGGGCCCCTGAGCCCCCTAGCAACAACGGCAAGTGTACCTGCAAAGCAACTGTTGATCACGCTGTCCACTTCCTTCGTTTGCATGGTCCTTCTCACGATACCTCCCTTTAAACCAAAGGGTTTTTTCCTTCAGCCGCTTGCCGCTGTCACGTTGCTGCAGTCACGCGTCAACATTGTTGAACATTTCGGTTGAGCTGATCTTGCGCCATTCCGTTCCCTCACCTTTTCGACGTGGAACAGAGTCAACTGAAAGCCCTATGACTAAGTGTGTGCCGCTCTGTCGTCCCACTGGGTGCAGAGTGTGATCTCCCGCAAGGGAGCGCTGAGACCATTGGGAATCACATATCGACTTGGCGTTTTTGCACTTGTGAATCAGGTTGCTG